CCCCCTAATCCTAGCTCCCATTCAAGTTCCTGAAGAAGAGCCCAGTAGCTGCCCACACAGGTCATCACGCTGCCATCCCTTGGGGCCGACAGCAGCTGTATAGTCCTCCTCACGGCAGCTTCTTAAGTGATATTTCCACGGCCAGGCGATGACGTCCTCCCGTCCTATGGAGCTGGGCAGATGCTTTAGGAACTCTGCTGCTTCCCGTAAGAAGAGCGATCTGCAGTCGCAGCCTGCCACGACGGGGCCAGAGGCAGCGCAGCACCGATCACGCGTGAAGACCTCATCGAAGCAGGCGTGATCAGCATCGGTCATTGGGCAGCACTTTCCCGGGTTCAGGCCGCCCTTCCAGCATCCCTCGTCCTCTGCGATGATCAAGGAAGGCCAAATCGCAGCCAAGCGCCACATGTCTCAAGCAAGTAGGGAAGCATGCATAGCTCATGATCTCTTGAAGCGCTCTTAAAGATTGGCAACAATTCTGACGGTGGTCATGGCTGTATGGAGATACGAACTGATATCAGGTCGTGATGGCAAGTATGTCCTTCAGGCAACCGGGAGGGGGTGCAACTGGGAAGAGCGACATCGATGTCGAAAGCATGATTCCCTCTCTTCCTTGCTTGAGTAAGACAAGGTAAAAGGGTTTAACCTTGGGCTTCTGATTTTCATACATGGTGACCCTAAGCCCTAAAGGAAGGCACCCTAACCCCCAAGCCGCCGTTTAATTACTAAACCATGCAGTGAAACAAAAGTGCTGGATCGATAGAAGGTTGAATCCATAAAGCGTACCGCTTAAGGGCTATCTCTTTGAAAGGGATCTCCTGCATTTTCGGGCGACTCCACATCCTGTCCTGTACAACCGGCAGGACGTCTGTAAGGAATGAGTAATGGCGGTTGCAATCATGTCCGAGGTGCAACAGCAGGTCTTGGACAGCACCACCAGCAGCTCCACACAGGATGGCTGCCTGGGCACTAGATTCGCAAGCTCACTGCAAGGATCTGGCCCTGCAGTGAAACTCAAGGCTCAGAGGAATCAGCTGCGACCAAAGGTCGAAATTTTGACAAGACCTCTTACGAACCTTTGCTGCCCTGACCATGCAGCAGGTAATCACCTCCCTCTGATAACTCTCCGAAACCACGAAATCTCTGAACCCGAAAGCCTTTGAACCGTCCTAAAGGACCCTGCAAACACGCCAGCCCTACCTCTACACTCTGAAGTTATCGTAGGCCTGGGTGCAATACAGGACCCTTCCTAAACTTCCGAAATTAGAACAGGGCTTGCGCTACATGAAAGTATACTTACAAAAAAGGAAGCCTCTGGGAATCGTTGTTGCGTTCCTTGTTGAGGCTGCTTCCTTGCAGTTCTGCAGTTTGGTTGCCGTTTGTTTTCAGGCCTGAAGTTTGGGGCTTCCGATGTGAAGCTTCCAAAACTGACAGGGTTTAGGGTTTAGGGT